TTTAAGAAGAATGAATTTTCAGTAAGATTAGAGGACATATTGCGGCATACTTGAGAATAAAAGAGAATATTTGGAAACAGAAAAAATGACTTCTGAAAAAATGGAATAGAGACCGTGAAGGATAGATGGACACTGCAGAGAGCCAGGGTCAGCCAGGAGAACCTCTGGAGGCTCCTCCATCCTCCACCCAGAGGAAAATGCAGAGAAGGAAATCCCAAGGGAGAGGGGGAATCAGATCCAGGGTGAGCCAACCTGATAGGAGTCTGGGAAGGAGAGTAAGGGCCATAGATGAGAACCTATAGCCAAGCAAAGAATGGGCAAAATGACCCTGATTTAAAGAAAGACTCAAAGCAACTCACTGCCCTGAGCATCAGGCAGCTCTGCTAACCCCCAAAGCAAACAAGACCCCCAACTCAGCCGACAGGGGCAAGCAAGTGAGTCCAGGGTGAGCAGAAAGCACTGCTGCTGCTTAACACTGAGAGCAGGCTGTCTCAAGGGGGTGGGTGTCAGGCCATCACCGCTGCCAACAGTGCTGGGACCGTGGACGTGGGCCTGTGCTCCGTGGCACAGCAACCAAGAACACGAAGTTACCATAGAAATTCAATGGCGGTTACTCTTGCCTTTGAGGTTGGCAGGAATGTAAACTGGCACTGTCTTTTTGGAGGGAAAATTGGCGGTATTTATCACAACGTAAAGTGTACATGGTTTGTAACAGAGAACTTCAGAAACAATCTGGGTGTCCATCCAAGACAAACTCAGTTGTTTAAAACGCGAAGTCCTACACAACCAATAAAGCTGGGAGCGCAGAGTCTGTGAATCTCCTCTCCGGAGGGGCATCTCCAGGCCTTGTGATGCTGGGGTCAGGGTTGGTGAGCAGGGCTGCGGGTGACTGGGATGGGGTGTGCGTGTCCCAGCTAGCAGTGCCCATGGGAGTGGGGGAAGCCGGGGAGACAGACCGTCTGATTTTTCAAGAGAAGCTGGAAATACAGGTTTTTATGTGAAGTCTCTAGGTTTAAAATAGCTGGCATCTAACTAAAACGTGAAAACTCCTGAGAGAGGGAACAAGGCGTGTGTGTGCAGGCCGCCTCCTTCTGTGGCTCCCGGGCACCCTGGTTAGGCAGCCCTGCTCTGGCGGGGGTGCTTCGAGCAGGTGCTGCGGGGACTTGGAGGCCCCAGTTCTCAGCGGGCAGCCTGTGAGACGGCACCTGGCTTGGACTTGGGGGACAGGGGAGGAAGGTAGATCCTGCCTTCTGGTTTGGACGGGGCTCCAGAGGCGGGAGGCTGTGTGAACCGTTCCTTCACACTGCTTTCCCCTTTCCGTTCACGGCAGACCCCTGGGCTTTAATGTGGGCACGGGCTGCTGGCTGGAGACGTCCTGGGGCCCCTGGAAGGGGCAGAGGTGATGTGTGCCACATCTGGGCCACCTCCGTAGAGTGGGTGCCACGGTGCCACCGCCGCCCCACCCCGCCTTGCCCTGCCGGTGCCCGGCTCTGGTGTGTGGCCCCGGCATGGGGAGGAGATGGTGGCCCAGACACAGGGGTAGGATGTGGGGCCCATGAGGGCCAAAGGGACTGGCATCTTGGGGGCCGAGGGAACGGCAGGCAGGCACCCAAGTCGTGATGGGAGGCATCTCTGGGGGCAGCTGACGCCCATGTCCCCCTCGGAGGTCAGCTGTGGCCCCTGGTGGTGGCCCGCCCCCAGCACAGCCTTGTTGGAGGGTGAGGGTCCAGCGTGGAGCCAGTTGACCAGCAGAGAGGAGCCCTGTGTGGCCCTGTCTGGACACTGCCCCCTCCTGGCTGCCCTTCTTCACCACCTACCCCTCTCTGTGCTGCACCACAGTCGCACGGCTGGCGGGACGGTCCTGGATCCTGACACAGCCCTGGGGCATGGCCAGCTCCCAGCTCCCGGCCACAGAGTGGGCCCTTGTCTCTGCCTGTGAGTGGGTCAGAGAGGCAAGCACTCCTGCAGCTGCCCTGCAGCCAGCTCTGCGGGGCCCGGTGAGGCCCCTCCCTGCTCACCTATATCCCCGGCCCTCGGGGGCCAGGACCTGCCTCTCTTTGGCCTGAGGGCAATGGGCTTGTGGACGGAGGGCCCTCAGCCAGAGCTGCCACATGGGCCCCCCCGCAATGGGACGACTTCCTGCAGGGCCTCGGGGTAGATTTAGAGGATGGAGTAGGTGTAGGCTGGGTGTCGGGGCCCTGCCCCAACAAGCATGAGCACTTGGGCCCATAGGTGACGCTTCACCAGGCAGAAGTGTCTGAATTGAGTCCTTGCCCTGGACAGGGCACAGGACACCCGGGTTAGGCTGGAGACCCATCCTGAGGTGACACAGCCAAGTCTGCCCATCTTGTGTGCAAAGGGCCTGTGCCCTTCGTATGCATGTGTTTCATAGCCCCGCAGGCTGAGTGTGCCCAGCGCCAGCAGGCCCACGGGACAAAAGTGCTGGCCCAGAGGGTGTGGGGCAGGTGACTTGGGCTGGCTCATGCTCCAGGGCGGAGCCCAGACAGGACCGGCTGCAGGAGTTCGGGGCAGGCCCCTGCTGGGGCAGAATGACCCCCAGTAACTTGCCTGGGTCCAGGGCCAGGGGACCAGACTGTCTTGGAGGTCCCATCTCCTCTCCAGGCCTCGGTTCCCCTTCTGTGTTGCATCACCCCTGGGGAGGGCCACGCTGGGGAGGGTAGATGGGCATGGAGACTTATGGGTGCTGGCTCCCCTGAACGCTGGGTTACGGCCATCCTGGTCGAGCCAAAGCCCTGGAACCTGTTGCACTGGCCCAGCTGGGCAGGGCCAGCAGCCTGGGAGGCCTGCTCTCCCTCTTAGATTGAGGGCCCCCCCGAGGCTCTGGGGCTCTGCAGAAACCCAGGGCCCGGCCCGGGCGCAGGTGCTCTTAGTACCCGGCAGCCCGTCCCACTCTGTGCAGTGAGCAGACAGCCCAGCTAGCTGCTGGGGCCTCCATCCCTGCTGCCCCGTCCCACAGTGGGGGCTGGACCTGAGCCCCCTTCTGCTGGCACCAGCTGCTGGTGGTCCTGGGCCCTGCAGAGCAAACCAAATGCAGAGAATGTCCCATGTGTGTCCATTCAGCCTGGAGGGACATGTGGCACCTGCACCTGCTTCCTGCTTGGGCACAATTGCTCTTTGGATGCAGAGCGGGGGTGGGGGCCCAGGGCTTCCAGGACACGGGAAGCTGCTCTCAGAGGCCCCAGAGGCGTGGTGGGGTGGGCGGACCTGGCGTTGGGCAGGGGTCTGCTGGGCTCAGGGGGCAGCGTGGTGGGGCTAGTGCACTGCCCCAGGGAGCCTCCCAGGAGAAGGCGGTCCTGGGCAGAGGTGGCTGTGTCTGTCTGTTTGGGGGACCTCAGGCATGGAGGCGTATGTGTGCATTCATTCCCGTCACCCCACTCTCTCCATCCCGACTGTGTCCTTCGATGTGCGCCGGTCTCGCTGTACAGGGACTCCCCTCCCCCCAGCACCCTGTCTGGTTACCGCTGCATCTGGCCCTCAGCTGCTCAGACACCTCCGGTTCCTGTCGCAGCCCCTGGACCCCACTGCGCTGCGGGGAGCAGACTCACTGCCATCCCTGGGTGGGGGCTTGGCCAGCCCACCTTTGTGCGAATCAGAACGGGACCCCCGGCAGGGGGTCGGCGGATTGCAGACCGTGTGTGCCCCCAATGCACCCACACCTGAGGCCCCGCCCTTTGAGCCTCCCTCAGGTGACCCCACCCCAGAAAGGCCGCCCAGGCCACGCTCCGTCACCCGTGCAGGAACCTGGGCTGTGGGCGAGGGGGCTGGGCGACCAGCCAAGGTTTAGGGAGCCAGGCTTCGTGGGGCCTGGGCTGTGGCCTTCTTCATGGTGGCTGAACCCTGCGACGCTCCCTCCTGCTGGGGCGCTCCTGGTGCCTGGCTTGTGGTCTCCTCCCGCTCCTCCCCTCTTAGCTCTCAGCTCTGAGAAGCGCACCCAGCCTCCACGCCCTGTCCCCCAGCCTGGCTTCTCTCGTGTGTGTGCTCCCGCTTCTGGGGGGCTCCGTCGTGGAGGGCGCTCATCTTCCCCCCATCACTGTGTGGGAGCCGCTGCTTTTCAAGTTCAAACCCCTGACCCCTACTGCAGACTAAACCCCCCACCCCACACTTGGTTCCTTTCTGCCTGGAAGGGGCAGGGGCAGGACGGCAGGGCGGTGACCTCTCTGGCCTCCTTGGGGTCCCTCTTGTTGCCCCACTGGCTTGTACCGCCCCTAGCTCTCTTGGGGTACACGTGTGAGCTGTTTGGGGTACCCCATAAGTAGGGTGGCTCTGCTGGGCTTCCCCACGTCCCCCAGCCTTGCTTAGGAGCCCGGGGGGCAGGGTGGCAGGTCCCCCACCTCACAAATGTCCCGCTGGGCCTGGAGTTCAGGACCGTATCTGCAGGAGAGCTGCTGGGCCCCCCTTGGGTCAGCAGGCAACCCTCTAAACGTCTCCTGGCCACCCCCAGGACCCCAGGTCTGAGAAGGTGATGGCAGCGGAAGCCTGGCATCTGCGTGCAGCACATGTGAGCGTGTCTTCCTCTGTGTCTCCCATGTTTCCGTGTTTTGTGTCTTTCTGTGTCCTTTTCTGCGTGTCTGTTTGCACGGCTCCTGTGGTTGTGGGGCCCCTGCTTGGGGACACTGAACCCCTCCTTGTCCAGAGCCTTGGGGTCCCCTGGCAGCCTCCTGCCAGGCAGGCTCTGTGATGACCGCAAGTCCCCAGCACGTGGGTGCACAGGGTCGAGGGGCTCTGGCCAGGCTACCCTGCTCCTGTCACCAACCAGTTCCCTCTCCGTGGGCCATGCTCAGAGGAGCAAGGCGCAGATTCCAGACATTTGGGGTGCAATAGCCGTTGGGGAGGGACCACCCTGGACGGGGGTGAGGGGCCCTGGGACAGGGTGGTCTCCGAGTGGGCACAGGAAGGCGGGCTGGGCCGGGGCAGGGGCACGGCACCTGCACCCGCGGAAAACCCTTGCCCATCTGGAGGGACCCCGCTGACTCTGGGGTCCTGGGCCCGCGCCCGCAGAGCATGGGGCCCTGCGTGTCCCTGGGTGGACCGTGCTCTTCCAGGGCGAGAGGGCCGGCCTGACGTACCGCGTGCCCTCAATGCTGCCCGTGCCTCCCGGGCCCACCCTGCTGGCCTTCGCGGATCAGCGGCTGAGCCCCGACGACGCCCACGCCCACCGCCTGGTGCAGAGGACCGGCATGCTGGCTGGGGGCTCCGTGCGGGTGAGCCCGGGGTGGGCGGCGGGGGCCGCGCCGCACGGAAGGACTGGGGACTGAGGCTTGGCCGCCTCCCCGCAGTGCGGCGCCACGCGCGTGCTGGGTACAGCGGTCCTGGACGAGCACCGCTCCAGGGACCCCTGCCCGGTGCACGTCGCGCGCACGGCCAGTCTTACTCTTCATCGCCGTGCGCGGCCGCACCCGCGAGGCCGCGCAGATCGCTGCGGGCGAGAACGCCGCGCACGTCTGCGGCGTGACCAACCGGGAGGCGGGGCGCAGCTGGGGTGGCGCGCGGGACCTCACGGCGGAGGCGGTGGGCGGCGCCGAGCAGGGTAGGTGGGCGCCCGCTCTGCAGGGCGCGGGGGTGGGGTGAGGGGGAGCGGGGTCCGAGCAGGGAGGGGGTCTCGCGGGGCGGGGAACGGGATTCTGCACCGCGGGGGGGTCTGCACCCCGGCGGCGGAGGGGGGCCTGGCTGGAGCTCCCGCCTCACCCCGCACCCAGCCTAAGCGCCACCGACGCCGTTTGGTGGGCCGCCCCCATCCTGTCCCCGGAAGCCCTCAGTCCCGCGCCCAGCAGGCTCTGTCATCTTCCCGAACCTGTCTCTGTCTGAGCGCTGAGGTCCCTTCTGGCCCCAAACCCCCGGTGGGTCCCCTCTTTTACCCCTTCCTCTTCTTCCTTCTCACCCCTCCCCCGGCGCTCAGCCCAGGGTTGCAGCTGGGTAGGTCGGCTTGACACCAGAGCTTTCCCTCTGCTCTCGCTGCCCCTTCCCCAAGGGCCTGACCACCAACTGCCCTCGGGGCCACTCCGACCCTGGCATGTGGAAGCTGACCCAGGGGTCACCTAGGCCCTGGCAGGTAGGAGCTAAACAGAGGGGTGGGGCAGGCTCTGAGACCCAGACAGGACACAGTGGATCTAAAGAGCTGTCTGCTGGTGTGGACCCCACCCCAGGGGACTCGAGCCCATTGCCAGGAGGGGCTGCCCAGACCCTCCCGCCCTCAGCTGCCCCTCTGCCTGGGCAGCATGCACACTTGGGGGCTGGCCTTCCGCTCACCCGCTGAGATCCTGGCCCAGCGGCCTGCCTGGGCTCGTGGCTGCTGCTAATGACCCAGGAGGTTTGTACAGCCTGGGGGTGGCCGGAAGGAGTGGACGGTGGGGGCACAGTGAGCCAATGGCTGCCCCCTGAGCTGTCCCCTAACCCGGGTACTGGCCCCCGTCCTCCCTGTCCCCCAGGGTGGTGGTGCTGCCATCGAGGGGACCAGCAGCCCCTCCTCCCTGCAGACTGGGCCACGTTTGCCGTCGGCTCCAGCCATGGCATCCGGCTGTGCTTGGGCCGCCTGCTGGTGCCGGCCTACACGTACCACGTGGACCGGCGAGAGTGCTTTGGTGAGATCTGCGAGACCGGCCCCCACTCCTTCGCCGCACCTGGCACCACGGGGGCCTCATGCCCAACCTGCGCTCGGGCGAGGACCAGTTGGCGGTGGTGGACAGGGGGCAGGCCGGTGCCATCCTCTACTGCAGTGCCTGGAGCCCTCTGGGCAGACACGTGCAGGTGCTCATTGTAGACGAGGGCGCCTCCTTCCTGCCTGGGGAGCTGGTGCTCGCCCTGGCCGGGGCCGCCGGGGGCTGCCAGGGCAGCATTGTGGGCTTTCCGGCCCCGCCCTCCAGCAGGCCGGAGAATGAGGGGTGCTCCATGGGTACCAGGAACACCCTCCACCCTCCACACCTCTGCCCTGGGCCCCAGGAACCCCCAGAGGAAGGAGGGCGCTGGAGATACCCGAGGGGGCGGGGGGCTGGGTGGGATGGAGGGATGTGGGGATGGCTCCGGTGAGCCCGGCCCAGGGCCTGGGTTTGAGGGGAACAGGGGGACCTGGACCCCCGAGCTCCCGGTCCCCCCTCGGCCTTGTCTCAGAGCCCCACGTGGCTGCTGTATTCCCACCCGGTGGGGTGCAGGGCACAGCTGCACATGGGCATCTGCCTGAGCCGGTCGCCCCTGGACCCCCACAGCTGCCCGGAGCCCTGGGCGATCCACGAGGGCCCCAGTGGCTACTCTGACCTGGCGTCCATCAGGCCCACCCCCGAGAGAGCCCTGACCTTCGCCTGTCTGTATGCGAGTGGGACCGGGGTCTCCTGTGAGGAGATCTCCTTCTGCATGTTCTCCCTGCAGGAGGCCCTGGGGAACGTTGGGGCGGGCACCGGGCATCCCAGCCTTGGGGACGAGCCTCTGGGGCGCTGCTGGCCCTCCTGATGGGCCTCTGGCCAGGCCTGGCCCCGGGTGCCCAGGAGGAGCGGGGAGGGGAGCAGGGGCGGAGGATGCTGGGAGGTGGCAGGGTGGGGGCGTCGGTGTGACCCCAGGCCTGGACGGGGCTCCATCCTGGAGAGGCGCCTTTGCTCCTTGGCTTCTCCATGGAGGTTCGTGAGGGTGAGTGTTTGTGTGGGACCTCATTGAATTTCACAGAAGCTCAGTTGTAACGGTCTCCAAGCAGGGTTGGTCTTTAGGAAGGAGGTGTACAGCCGGAAGGGAGGGTGGCCTGGATGGCCCAGGGTGGACGGGCGGCTGGCCCTGCATGGCCCACCCCTCCCCCTCCCAAGGCCGACAGCAGGGGCTGGGGCGTGTGGTGGTGGGAGCGTGGCGCTGGGATCCTTCGCTTGGCCCGCAGTGCTTGGTCGCCTGTACCATTTTCCTCTTTCCTCTTGCTCTGCTGGCTTTTTTCTGGCTTATGAACAAGAAATAAAGGGATCCTGCGTGTCTGTCCAGGGCTGTCTCTCCTCAGTTCTTTCCACGTCGAAGCCTGGGGAGGGTCCCCAGTGCTCTAGCCACGTCACTGTGGGGTCTGCCCCCCTTAGCTAGACTCTCCAGTGCTGGGGGCTGCCAGCCATGGGGCAGGGGGACAGGCAAAGCCTTCTCTGCGCGGCAGCCCCAGACGTGCCTGGTCTGCACTGCCGGCCGGCGGGGCCGGTGGGGAGCGCGGTGGCTGCCCCTCCCTGGATGGGTCACCTCCCAGGACCGGCCCTCTGTGCCCTCGTGGAAGCACCTTCTTATTTCCTCTTCTTTGTAACATCTTCTTTCTGGTTACAAAAATAAAATGTGTTCATTGTAGAAAATTTGGGAAATGTATAAAACTATAAAGAAAAAAGTGACCCACGCATATCCTTCTGCCCACCACAACTATGATTATCTTTTCGGCATTTCTTTCTGATTCCTTGAAGAAATTCTTTTTAAAAACATATGACTTCATTTTAGCACGTTATCACCCTTCCCAGCAGCTCTGTTTACGGCCCCGATGCTCCATGATGAGGACCCTGCAGGGCGACCTTCTGGGGCTGGTCAGTTTCCCCAGTTGCCGGTCATGCGTGATGAGCATCTCTGAGGTGTCCCTGGATGGCCCCAGTTTCTGTCACCTCCTTAGCCTGGATTCCGGAACAGCATGACATCTTACATGGTCTTCCCCAAGGGTGGGGACGTGCAGGAAGGCTCTGAGCAGTGGAGGCCCAAGGGTCCCCAGGGAACTCAGAACAGCCAGTCCCCTGGGAGCCGGGAGACACCCCCCCCACCGCTTATTGCTCTCTTTCACTGTCAGCCGTCCCTGCAGGGGTGGCCACCTTTCAGGGGTCACCACTGGGCTCCAGGCACCCCCCCACCTCCAGGCTGCCTCAGTCCCCTGTAAGGACAGCCCTTCTACCTGGGGCTTTTGGGCAGTGGCTTGAGTCCGCTCTTCTGTTTTCAGGTTTAAGCCACAGAAACCGGCAAAGACGGGCAGGTGGGGCTTTCCAGAGGCCCAGAGGTCACAGGTGTGTACGGCAGGGTCCTGTACTCACTTCCAGACTGGGTGATTATTGTGCCCTAAATTCCACCTGGAACCTCAGACTGTGACCTGTTTGGAGGTAAGGTCTTTGCAGATGTAATTAAGGTTAGGACTGAGAGGAGACCATCCTGGGTTAGGCTGGGTTCTAAGTCAGGCAGGAGTGAGTGTCCTTATAAGAGAAAAGGGCCGTCGGGGAGAAGTCATGTGAAGATGGAGCCCGGGACTGGAGGGACGTGCCCACAGGCCCACGGACACCTGGAGCCCCCAGAAGGGAAGAGGCAGGAGGACCCTCCCTGGATCCTGGGGAGGAAGCGTAGCCCTGGGACTCCTTGACGTGGGGCTTCTGGCTCCAGAACTGGGAGGGGACAGACACCTGTTACTCAGGCTGCCCTGTTTGTGGAACTTCGGGAAAGCACTGCTGGCCCACCTGGGGGAGGGCCAGCGCCAGCCAGGGCAGGTCCCGGCTGTCCCTGTGTGGGGACTGTGACACCGGCTGGAGTCCTGGCGGGCACGGCAGGCTGGCGCCAGCCTCTCACTCCTGCACCTGCAGCCTGCGCAGGCTCCTCCCGCCACGGGGCTCCCAGCGGGCCGGGGCGAGTCCCTCCATCGAGCACCCCACGCAGGCCAGCCGTGGAGTGAGGTCTCTGAAGCGAGCAGAGCCAGCCTTCGGTGACTGGGTCCATCCCAGAGCTGTGGCTTCCTCGGGGCCCCATCCTGGTTCCTCATGGTCTAGGCCGCGGCTGAGGGCTCTGGGTTAGGGCTTCCCCAGGTGTGACCCACCCGCAGGCAGGGAGAGAGGCTGTGGGGAGAGTCCCTGGGCTCAGGGCAGCTCAGGCCCCCTCCTAAAACCGTCCTCACCCACCCCCGAGGCCTGTCGCCACCTGCACCTGCTCTGGCTGGTCCCCGAGGGCTCAGGGCACCTAGTGCTTGCTGCTGTAGGGGGCAGCTGAGCTAGGGAAGGCCCTCCCCGCTCTCCGGGCCTGGATCCAGCTGCTGGCCTGCAGGGGTCAACCTTGCTGGGGCCTGTGGCCCTGGCTTCCCTGGTCCTGGGTGACTGTACCTCGAGCAGTGCCCCACTGTCCAGCCTCCAGGGCCACTGGTCCTCAGGTGCGGCCCAGCCTGACCCCACAGGAGCCGCTCCTCTGTCCCCTCCTCCCACTGCCCCACAGGCTGATCTGACCCCCCAGGCCCTCTGGGATGGCCCTGGGCTCTCCCAGCCTCCTCCTTCCTTCCTCGGGTCCAACGTGATGGACCAGCCCCTGGGCATTTCCCCAGGCTCTGCCGTGCACCTGTGGTGCTTTCCCCAGGCTGGGTCGGGTCTTGCTGGGGGTTCTAACAATAATAATTATTACTATTATTGCACTGCAAACAGTCTAGTGCAGACTGCCCGTTGCGTTGTATCCTCTCCAATGCTGTTCCTTTTGTTTCCTTTCCTTGTTTTACTGGACTGGCAGGACCTCCAAGGAAATGTGAAACAGACGTGATGTCTGGTAGACAGAATACAGGCTCCCGAAGGCGTCGGCATCCTAACCCCCGGAACCTGTGAGTGTGTGATCTTCATGAGAAAGGGACCTCGCAGCCGTGATTAAGTTAAGGGTCTTGTGATGGTGGATTGTCCTGGGTTATCTGGGTGGGCTGGCACTTAGAAGGGGGACAGAGGGTCAGAGGGGAGAGCCGGTGTTACGATGCTGGGCTTGAGGATGGGTGAGGGGCCTGGAACCAAGGGATGCAGTGACCCCTGGAATCTGGAAAAGGCAGCGAGCGGATTCTCCCCCGGGGCCTCCAAAAGGAACCGGCCCTGTGGACACCGTGACTTTAGCACAGTGAGACCCATTTCAGAGCTGAAGGGGGATGAGTTTGTGCTGCTGTAAGCAAGTTAGTTCCAGTGGCCGCGGGAGACGCCAACAGGCGACACTGGCTGCCTAATCCCATTCCAGAGTTTCTGGGACCCGAGTTCTTGAACGCTACCATTCTCACTGGATGCTTCTTACTCTCTTCTGTGTGTTTTCCATGATTTTCTGTCTCTGTGCTTCACTCTTAGACTTTTCTTCCAACTCACTAATTCTGTCTTTGCTGTGACTGATTGGCTGCAGTCATCGCCTCCCTCCTCTGTCTGTCTGTCTCTGTCTTTATGTCTCTCTGTCTGTCTCTCTCTGTCTGTCTAGCTTTCCCTCCCTCCCTCCCTCCCCCCATGTCTCTCTGTCTCTGTCTCTGTTTTTCTGTCTATCCGGCTTTTCCTCCCTCCCTCCCTCCCCCATCTCTCTCTGTCTCTGTCTCTCTGGGTCTCCCTCCCTCCCTCCTCCGCGCTGTCTCTCTCCTCCGTCCCTCTTTCTGCTTCAGTACTGTGCTCCGTTTCTGTGTGTGCGCAGAGGGGAAAGGATAAAATACTTAACAGAAGGTCTCCTGTGTGTCACATGCTTTGTACCCTCCATTCCCTTTAATAAGTCAAAGCCCCTGTGAAGCAGGTATTATGTCCATTTCCCAGATGTGGAAGTTGAGGCTCAGCGGCCTGTGCTGATCCCACAGTTCGGGGTAGAGACCAGCTTGCAGTCCATTTGGTGGCTCCCACATTGAGTCTTTTGAATGTTTTCCGCTGTGTGTCATTAAAACAATTTCAGTGGCCACAAGTGCTTGTTTTAATTAGTCAATCCAGAGTCTCGGCTCACCCCATTCTGCCCCTAAAGGTGACAGCAGCCTGCTCCCCTCCCAAGGTTCATACAAGAGGAAATAAATGGGAACATACATGGACGTGTTTCCCTTTGCACCAGGGTGAAATAGTCGCATGACTGTAGTCCTGCAGCTGACCGCCCGAGTGCAGCAGTGCTTGGCCGGGCCGCGTGCCCTGTGGGCGAGGCTCGTCGCTGTGGTCTGGTGTGGCTCACGGCCACTTCCCTCACCCCAATGCCCCCAGCTGCAAACCTCCATCCTGGGGTCCATTTCCTGCGGAGTCCAGACAACAACACAGATGCCTTTCAAGACTCACATCCTAGCTCGTGCTTTCTTAGTAACTGCACGATGTGTTCTAGAGCATCGATGTACATGGGCCATCCAGCATTTCCTTGCTGGGGACATTCAGATGGCTTCTATTATTATTATTATTATTGCACTGCAACCAAAGCTGCAGTGCACATCTTTTAACATCTGTCTTTACAAACAAAGACCGATTTCTGCAGGATGGATTCTCAACTGTGGGGTGACTGAGCACAAATCTCGGCAATGTTTTATTCTAGTAGATAACAGCAGACTATTCTCTTAAAAGGAGTAGTAATTCACAAGCTATCCATACAAGTGAGAAGGCTGTTTTCTTGCACGCTGTTTGCCTTTTTCCTTTCTCCAGTTTGATGGGTGCACGGCGGCCCGTCCTGCCCTCCCCAGGTGACCGTGAGCTTGTGCTTGCACCTGTCCTGGTGTGGACCCACAGGGGAGGGGCGTGGGGGGGTGGTGGCCGGGGTCCTTCCCGGGCAGTGTCTGTAACAGGGAAGAAGGGAGAGGTTCTGTGCGCTCAGAGCGGCACCGAGAATAAAACTGTGATGAACGTGGGGTGGGGCGGGGCCGTGGTCTTCTTTAGTCTGCAAACCCTGTGCCATCTCTCAAGAGTGTTTGGAAGGTGGGAAGGAGGGAGGCTGCCCACAGAGCTATTTTTAGATGAGATTAACATTTAAATCCGCAGACTTTGAGTAAAGCACGTTATCCTTTATAACGTGGGGGCCTCCCCCAACCACTTGAAGGCCTTATGAGAAAAGGCTGAGCTTCCCTGAGGAAGAGGGGATTCTGCCCTTGACAGCTCAGATTCCAGCCACGCATCAGCTCGCCCGGCTCTCCAGCCTCTCTGACTTGCCACAGCTGTGGCCATGACCATTCTCTACCCCAGCCCCATTTTCATCTTCCTAAACTGACACTGTCCCCACTGAACACTAACTTCCCAACCCCTCTCCCCAGCTGTTGGCACCCTCCATTCTACTTTCTGTATGATTTGACTACCTAAGTACCTCTTATAAGGGAATCATAGGTGTCCATCCCCTTGTGTCTGGCTTATTTCACTGACCATCATGTCCTTAAGGTTCATTCGCAGTGTAGCATGACTCAGAATTTCCTTCCTTTTTGAGGCTGAATAATATTCTGTCATATGGACGGACCACATTCTGTTTATCCTTCATCAGTTGATGGACGTGGGTTGCTTCCATCTTGTGGCTACTGTGAATAATGCTGCTATGAATGTGTATGGACAGAATTTTTTAAATTAATTAGTTAATGTTTTAAATGGCTGAATAATAGCATTTGATAGTATATTTTCGGAATTCAGACTGAGATAAAAACAGAAAACAATCATGTATTTTGCCGCCGTGGGTCGGTGGGACGCTGGTACGCGCGTGCCTGAGGCCCCGCCCCCCGCCCTCAGGCCCCGCCCTCAGGCCATGCCCTTGGGCCAGCCCCATTTTGCCCAAAGGACCAACAGGAGCTGAATCTAGAGGCGCTACGACCCCCACTGGGACCCCTGGCTGGGAGAAGTCAAAACGGCTGGGGGGCTCTTAGATGTGGCTTCTGTGCCCACTGGGCAGGCCACCGGGGGCCGGCGCCCCTCGGGGCGGATGTGAGGCTGGGCGCCATCTGCCTGGACGTGTGGGTGCCTTGGCCCAGAGCCTCTTCCCGCCCGAGGGCCCAGCAGCCGAGCGCCTTGTGATGCTCAGATAACGGGGCCCGAGAAGCAGGGCTATGGGGAGGTGACACATCTTTCCCCTAAAGTGGCTCTCAGAGGCGGCCCTGACCTGCGGCAAGCCCATGGCACCGCAAACCGCGGGAGGCAAGGGCTGTGGGGAGCCCCCGCCACCCCTGCCCACCCAAGTCGTGGGCTCAGGAGCCAGGAACACAGGCCACCCCCCAGCAGATGGGGCAGCCCGACCGGGTCGAGGTACAGGACCCCCGGGAAGGGTCCCCTGCACCGCCTTGGTCACTCACAGGGGGGTCCCCACATTCTGAAGTCTCCAAACACTCAGGAACCTCACTCAGACCATAGGGGCATCCGTCCACATCAGACCACCAACCCACAAGGGCTGAGAGCCCAGGCGCCGCACGGCAGGCCCGCTTCCCTGTTCCCAAGGCTGGGCTCACTTTGAGACCTGAGCCCCTCTGCTGCCAGGAGGCCTTGGCCACAGCGCCCCCCTCCCATCCCGCAGGCCTTGTGGGACCTCGGACTCCTATGGTGAGGTGTCTGGCCACCCCCACTTCCCAGCACAGCAGCCAGGGACCGGGAGGGCACAGGTGGCCCGAGGGGGTGTTCTGCTGGGCAGAGGGGCTACCAGGGTGGGGCTCGGCTAGGGAGCACCTGGAACCTGGTGGGCTGCCGAGGTCTCAGGCTGGGAGCAGGGAGCCCTGAGACCCGCCCTCCCCCTCTCCCCCCTCCCCGACGCTGTGGCTCCGTGAGATGCACAGACGCCGATGCAGAGACTGACCCGCTGGAACGGGTGTGGGCGGGGGGTGGGCGCGACGCCCCACCAGGCCGGTGACACACGCGGCTGCGGCAGAGCAGGGGAACGGAAAAAGTGAGAGGCGACAGGCGGCAGGTGGCAGGGGCCGCCTTACGGGAAGGCGGATGCAAAGTGCTGAGTGTCGCTCTCGGTCTCACTTCTTATCTGAGCGCGGCTGCCAGGGCGGCCGGCACTGCCAGCACACCTGAGGCCACTTCCTTCCCTCCCTGATCTTTCATCTTAAAAATTTTTTCCAGTATCAGTATGAGCTCGTGGTCTTTTAAACTTGCTCAGAGTGTGTGAATCAATTAGATTTTTCATGTTAATTTTGGCAGTTTTGATGCTCAGATTGCCCCCTTGTCTCTTGACCGGACCCCAACCTGGTTCCGTGCTCCGGGGCCGAGTGTCTCCATCCCTCCTGCACACACCTGAGGGCTGGCGGCCGCCCAGGAGCCAGTTCACCCAGAGTCCGGGCGGGGCCCCTGCTCCTGCCACCCCGGGGCCTCCCTACCTTCAGCCATCAGGTCCAGCACAGTGAACCCCACGTGCTTCCTGTTTCTGCCAGTGCCCCCGGGAGGTGTTGCACAGGCGGGGCTCAGGAGTGAAGGGCAAATGCTCCACTGAGTGCTAAGCAGCCGCTTCCCAGCATCCTCGCCCGGGGTGCAGTCAGGCTTCCGAGTTGGCTGGCGAATAGGTGTGGCTGTGATCTGCAGTTTCCTTATTTTGAGTGAAAATAAGCATCCTTTCCCTGTTTAAGGGACATGTGTGCACATGTGTGCATATAACATGTGGGAGGCATGTGCGTGAACAGTCCATCATTTCTCTGGCTCGCTTTTCCATTGCAACTCTGACCTTGCTGTCTCCCCGACTTTAGACCTTTCTATAATTGGAGCATTAGCCTTCTGCGTGATATTGCAAATTCCTTCCCCAGTCTGCTCGTGATGATGTTTTTGCTGTGCTACAGGGTTTTCCCCAATTTACACAGCTGAATTTCCCCATCTTCTCTTCCATGGCACCTAGGGTGAGCCGGCATCCCTGTGAAGTTCTGGTAGGTTTTTCTCCTGTGTCTCACAGGGTTGGGATTGATGCAAGCACAGGGTAGGAGGGACGTATCTACCTTACTATACTATACTTTCCAAATAGCTGTGCTGTCCCAGCACCACCTAGGAAGTCTATGGTTCCCCACTCATTGGCTCTCTTCCTGCCTTTTCATATGCTAACGCCACTGTTTTAATGATCATCAGTACTAGATCTGATAAAGCTGCTCTTCTTTCACTTTCCTTTCCTGGTTTTCTTGGCTGTTACTTGCCTGTTTATTTTTCCAGATGAACTTTACGGTTGCAGAAATGTGGGTCTTTACAGGGATCGTATTAAATTTGTAGAATTAGGAAGAACTGACGTCTCGATGGCATCGAGGCATCCTCCCCAGATCACCAGGCCACGCCGGTACTCTGCTCTCCTCCTGCGGGTTCGTGCTTTTCTCACTAAATCTACGCCTTGGACACGCAAGCTTTTCTGTTGCTATCATAGGCGGAATATTCGCTATCACTTTTTCTTCTAAGTGGTTACCGTTGGATGTACGGAAGCCATTTATTTCGGGATGTTAATTTTACAGCTGCTCCTGGACTAGATTTTCCTGTTGCCATAGCAGTTTCCCCACAGAACCTCCTGGGTTTTCCAGGCACAAAAGC